AAATGTTGATTGATTAGGTTTTCTATTGAACACCGTCTAAGGTTGGTTTGTTTAATCATGTATTCTTTTCAGATGCCTTTAATACAGAGCTTCTGCTTTCGTGTATGGAAGAATTGAAACATGGAAGAGGAATTAACATTCCTAATTATGATTTCAAGCTCCATAGGAGCGTGGAACCAGCTCGTGTGGTAATATACTCATCTTCCCTGGCCAAGTATTTTAAGCTGATGTTGCATGTTGTTCGTATTGTGACTTCACAACTTTCATCTCGAAGCTTCAAACTTCAAATGCAGATGATTCTCGATTACATTTTTTCTAATTGAATGCAGGTCAATCCCTCAGATGTCATCATTTTAGATGGAATTCTTATTCTGCATGATCCTCGTTTACGTGATTTCATGAATATGAAAATCTTTGTTGATTCAGGTTCTTCTCTAACTGAAATTCTCTAATTTGAAGCCCTTTAGAACATTTCCATGTTGCCTCGTAAACTGTTAGTGTGTTCATGAATGCAGACTCTGACGTGCGTCTAGCCAGGAGGATACGGAGGGACACTGTTGAGAGGAACAGAAACATCCTTAATGTGCTAGATCAGGTTAGCAGTTCTTTTGCACATAACAGTTTTGGATTTTCGGTTGGTCCTAAATTGAGTGGCAGGTCACCAAGTTAGCAGTTCTTTTGCTTTTAAGACTGATTTTATTTTTTGAATAACCGTTTGCTACTTTTACCTATGATGCTAATTTGATATCAGGTAGTTGTGGAGTTTTGTATTGATTCACCAGACTTTGGGTTATGTATTACTTGATTCATTTGAAAATTTGAATTGTTCAAGTTGATTATGCCATCTGATATGCAGTATTCCAAACATGTTAAACCTGGTTTTGAGGACTTCATTCATCCAACAAAGAAATATGCTGATGTAATTATTCCTCGAGGAGCAGATAATGATGTTGCAATCGATTTGATAGTTCAACACATTCGTACAAAGCTTGGACAACATGATCTTTGCAAAATATACTCAAATGTATTTGTTATACAGTCTACATTTCAGGTATGTATCTCTTAAGGTTGTTTTCTTGATCGCGCTCCAATTTTCAAGCACTGGTACATTGTCTTGATCTGTGCTTCAACATTCTTGAAGACCAAGGTGGAACAGTCCCATAACACTTGTCCATTTTCTAGATACGTGGGATGCATACACTTGTGCGAAATGCAAAAACAACCAAGCATGACTTTGTTTTTTATGCAGATCGCCTTATTCGCTTGGTATGATTGTTTTCATCTCATGTACGGAATAAAATTATCTTCTGGGAGCATTATTGTGAAGCATGTTTTTATTTTTACTCATTTTTGAGGTTGTGGAGCATGGTCTCGGTCACCTTCCCTTTACTGAGAAGCAGATAATCACTCCTACAGGTAACTTTCCGATTCAAAATCTATAAACAGGAACTTGGTGAAAGAATTATCTTTTCCTCTTTTGCAGGATCTGTTTATAGTGGAGTCGTTTTCTGTAAACGTTTATGTGGAGTTTCAATCATTAGAAGGTACATAGTTATTTCCTAATCTATTTGGAATGAGTAGTATTTACAACATATCAGACAGTTTCTGTTGGATATTACTCTCCAATTATCAAGAATAGCCTGTCATTCATATGCCTTTTCAATAAACAAAGTGAAAGTTGACATGGTTTGTGTTGCAGTGGAGAAAGCATGGAAAATGCATTGAGAGCTTGCTGCAAAGGAATCAAAATCGGAAAAATTCTAATCCACGGGGAGGGTAAAAGTGGAAGGCAGGTTAGTCATATATACCAATTCTATACCAACCTCTTTGCTCAATGTTAGAAATGTTTCTGTCAAAAATATGATTGAACAAAAATAGTTCAACTGATATGATTCTCACACTCTAAAGTACAAACACGCGTAAAGAGTTGTCTTCAATCCATACACACACAATTTCTCCCTGTTCAAACTTAATATAATCTCCGATGACAGAAGATTTAACAATAGCAGAACATAAAGAACAAAATGTAGTGTCTTACTGATCCGATCATCATTACAGTTGATCTATGAGAAGCTACCATCAGATATTGCAAGTCGACATGTCTTGCTTCTTGATCCAGTACTTGCTTCAGGTTGGAAAACACTTTTCTTTCTATCAATCAATCAATAACGTTGTCACCTAATTAACCAATGAATTACTTTCCAGGGAATTCCGCGGTGAAAGCTATTTCTGTACTTCTTAGTAAAGGCGTACCAGAGTCCAACATTGTTTTCTTAAACCTTATATCAGTAAGTAATCAAAAAACACAGCTTAAAAATATTTTGAAACAAATACAGTAAACCAGAACGACTCGTGATGCAGGCCCCTGAGGGACTACATACTGTATGCAACAAATATCCGCGATTGAAGATTGTAACATCAGAGATTGATACAACACTTAACAAGGATTTACATGTGATTCCTGGTATGGGAGAATTCGGAGATCGTTATTTTGGTACTGGTAGTCGAGTTATAACTCCTTCCTAACATCAACCATGTAGGCTTGGAGAGGATATAGACATATATATACTCTGTCCCTCTTTTATCTGGGATGGAATTCTAGTGCTCAGATAATCCATAAGACTGTTTTTTGTAACATTTTCCTGAAAACATTATCTTAGCCATAAAGAATTCGCGCTTTGTCCCCCCCCCCCCCCCCCCTTTTGTTCTGATTAGAAAGAGCGAGGTCTTACTCTTTCGAGGGGATGAAAGACAAGTAAAAGAATCGCGAAATTTAATGATAGGAGAAGCATGAGCATAGAGTTTTGTTTCACATTTTTCGTAATATTTTTGTTGCACCTCATATGGAAATTGGAAATGTGTATTAGTATATGTTTGATTATATAAGCATAAGTATGTATACTAGTAATTAAATATTTTTCACATTTAAGTTTCTTTGATAGAGTAGTAATTACCATTGTTTATAAGTTATCTATCATGTTTTTCTATAAAAATAAGTTCATGTAATTAAATTTCAAAAAGTAACATGATAGCTAGCGAGTATAAACATTGCATTAAAGCTTAAAATTTGAATAATTCAATAATTTCAAATAATTGAAAATTGTATACGTAGAATTGTCAAATATATTGGACAACTGAGTGTAGTATTAGGGGAGTGCCTTTTCAAATACTATTTGAAGCTTTTGATTAAAATTTCTAAATTATACTGTATTTTTATATGATCTCCAAAAATGTAAATTTTGTGTATATTTTGACCATTTTACTCCGTACTTTAGTTTCTTTCGAACAAAATGCACCTGCTTATGAGAATTGTCAATTCATTAATCTCCATAACAAAATCAGGATATATATATATATATATATATATATATATATATATATTTATTTATTTTATTAGTAAATGAATGAATTTAATACGATTTTTGGTTAAACATAAAAATAATTTGAACATTCAAAACAAGTCTTTTACTCCTTTCAAATCAAAGTAATTTTCGTGTTTCGATATTTAAAATTACATGAACTATAAAACATTATTATTCCGTGTATATTTTATCAAAGATAATATTAGTTTTGTTCACTTTCGTTTGTCATAATTTTCTTTTTAGAGTCAAATTATAAAAAATTTGATTAACATTTTATGTTCATTATATTGAGATACAAAAAATGCAATTTATGGTATTTTTTGTACCGTTTTTGAATATCTAAATTTTTTGTTTAAAAAATCAAGTTAATATAGTCTAATTTAAATTTAAAAATTAGTCAAAATTTAATTTAAAAAAACGTAACATGATAAATAAAAATAAACGGAGAAAACAAATGATATCCAAGCATATGAGAGGACTTGTCATGTACAAAACATAACGCAAAAGGAAAGTAGGTTTGTTTCAGCCTCTTTCCATCCCTGAAATGCCATGTATGTCTATTTCAATCGACTTTCATTGAAACATGAAAAGAATCGTCGACCTAACTTATTTTTCATATAATTTTAATATATTTGAAATTTTAATTGTAAAATATTGAACGAATATAATTTAATTCTCTTAGAAAGTCAATCAATTTTACTTTTTTACTCAAAAATCATTCAAAATTTAAATTCTATGCGCTCGTTCGTACGTTTCCTAACGTGTCCAAATGCTAAATCGATTTGATCTTCGATGGACACTATGAAAACTTATGGAGTGCATGTATACAACTTAGATTTACAATTTTTTTCAAATTTATGTACCACCTTGAAATTGTTTGAAATGAACAGATCACATCGAAAAGAGATCATACATTTATGAAAGCCAAGGTCCTTGAAATGTGTTCCCCACTGCGTAAAAATATGCAACTAATGCAAGGAGATAAAACCACACTTTCTCTTTTACCGAGAATGAGCCTTTCGTCTCAAATTATTTATTGTATTTTTTTATATGTACATTTTTTATAAATAATAATATTAATTAAAAAGTAAGTTATATTATTTTATCTTTGTTTATATTTTAAAATATGATTTTGCTTCATAAATATTTACACCATTGAAATGTTTATAGTTAAGAACAATTACTACTAAAAATAAAATAGAAACTAAAACACAATTACCTTTTATCTTAGACTTTTAAAAAATTCAACTGTTTTTTAGAAATAGCAACAGATAATATAAAACAGAGAAGTACCGGAGAACAATAAGTACTTACATTTCGATTTAAAATGTGTTGCTTCCTTTTTTACACTCTTTTAACATGCATGATTTTTTTTATACTTCCTCTGGTCCATATTATAAGTGAATTATTGAAAAAACAAAAACTATAGTTAAAAATAAGTAAATTAATCAAAGTTCAAGAAAATCGTTGAGATTTTTTTTTCCACATTAACCCTTCTTTATGTTTTCTAGGAGACTAATATGAAAATAATCATAAAACGCAGCCTTTAGTTTATGTCCTTGTATATTTTTGTGAAGGGACAGTTAATACGAACTAAGAGGGAGTGCCTCTAATTCTAATATTTTTACTTGGCATTTTATAACGGCGATATTCAAAGTGTTTTTGTATTTTATACACCTGTTTTAGTTCAAACTTTGTAACTGAACAAAGACACTTAAGTTCAAACTTCATAATTAAGCAAATTAAGACACTTACATTGAAATCGGAGAGTGCCATTTACACCTCTTTATCTCAAATGCTCATACCGAGGAAGCACGAAGAGATGCATCCTTTTTCTATACAAAATGATACTCCACTTGCACGAGACATTTATGAAACACAGAACCTTAGCCCTATATAAACCTCATTCACCTTGAATCTTCAACCCACAGCAAAACAGAAACACAAATTCATATATAGCTATCTTCCTCTTTGCCTATAAACAATAATCAGTGTAAAAATGCCAACCACCATGGAAGATGTCACTGCCAAGATTGATGCAGTTGAAATCGACTCCAAGAGTGTTGTTGCTCTGAAGGAGAAGGCGATCGAAGGTGAAGTAAAGACTACAGAAACAACACAAGAGAAGACTAATGAAGCTAAAAGTAATCCGGAGAAAGAATCCAATGGTGCAACTTTCAAAGAAGAGGAAGTTCCAGTTGAGGTTGAACCTAAAACTGGAGTCTCTTTTCCTGTCAAACTTGAAGATGGAAAGCAGTTGAAAGCTGTAGGTTTAAGGAAGAAGAGCATGCTTGGCATGGGCATCAAAATCTATGGCTTTGGTATTACACCATTAAACACATCTTATTGACTAATGTTCTAATCTATTTCTACACTTTATGATCTTATTATTTGGCTACAGGAATATATGCAGACAATGAGAAATTGAAAGACCTCATGCAGTCCAAGATTGCGAAAGCACCAGCAAAACCAACAAAGGAGATGTATCAAATGGTGATTGATAGTGATTTGGGAATGATGATGCGGTTGGTAATTGTTTTCTCTAACCTAACCATGAACATGGTAAGAAAGAACTTTGACGAAGGCCTCGGAGCTGCCATCAAGAAGCTTACAGGTGGAAAGAATGAGGAGCTCACAAAGAAGTACTATAACTTAAATTGCTAATCATTGCTATTCAGCCATAGCTTGAATGTTTAAACTCTAATATCCTGTTGTTATATTAGGATCATGGGAGAAGCATCTGATGACATAAAGCTGAATTCTGGTTCTGTAATTGAGATTTCAAGGCTTCCAGGATATGTCCTTCAGACCAAAGGTAAAATAGGTTCTTATCAATTTCATGCCATCAATTGCATGCCAAACTTGACTAGACATCAACTTTATCTAAATGCAGTAAAGGGTGAGATTGTGAGCAAGGTGGAAAGTGAACTACTCTGCAGGGCCTTCATCTACATGTATTTAGGTGATGATCCATTTGACAAAGAAGCCAAGGAGAAGTTCGGGACATCCATGCTCTCTCTGTTCTAAGTAGTAGGTTTCCAGCATTTACTAGTCTAGGTTGTTAAAGAATAAGCTGTGGTGACTTTGAACTGATGAATAATAGCTCAATAAAAGCATGGTTGATTTTTCATAGTGCAGTATTTCTAGTGTTCTATTATGCAAAGCTTCAGCACTAAGAAGGGATTTCCTGACTAAGGAAAGTTTATCCTATGAAAAATATTCATATGACATGCAGCAAACAATCTGAAACTGCAATTAGGTGCTTGTATAATGGATCCAGTAATGTTTAAGTAACCCCTATGAAACTGATAAATTTATGGAACAGCAAAAGGTGCATATAGTATACAAAAATAAATTTGTAGAATCAGACCATGGATAAGATTAGCCATAAATAACTTTCCTAGGGTCCAATTGTCCACTGCAATAACTTGAAGATACCGTAGAGAGCTCTTGCCGCCCCCTCCACTCTTCAGAAGGTTTTAAGATAATCGGAGTTTCAACAGCAGCAGAATCCACACACAACATTTTCTTGTAATCTTGATCACCCAAATCTGGGAGAGACTTGGCCTTTTTGTCCCAAGGATTCCAAACAACTGCATATCACATCCATATTACACTTAAAAATACTGGATGGAGATAGCGATAAAAGGGAATCAAAGAATTAAAAAAAAAGGTATAAATCATCATACCAGCATCTGCCATTCCTTCTTTCTGAAGGACATAAGTTCTCTTCTTCTCGTGATCTATTATGGCAGTTTTTGTTGGTGTGCTAAGATATACTCTATCCGTCTAACAAAATGAAAAGGTTTAGATTAGCAAAATAATAGTGAGAAATGTACTCCTCTTCTCAATGAAATTTGAAAAATTCAAACAACCAAGCATATAATAAAGTGATCTAAGAGAAGCTCCTCTGGCACCTAGTGGTCCTGAATTCAAATCAAGGCGTCTATCTTCGAGAAATATGGAGAACAAGCCTAACATAGTAATACTACCTCACTATCAAATGTAATTGCATCTGCCTGCTCTGTGTATCTTTCTCCCCGCTGCAAATTATCGAAGTAGTCAAGTGTCTCCAAGCCCTCAACCCGCACTTCACTGCAAATCAAACTGCATCACCTATCTGAAAAGGATAGTGACGTATCTAGCAAAGTTCAGTTATAATTTCTTTTTTGAACGGTTCATCATTGAATGAGCATGATATATTGAAGTACAGGTCTGAATTCATTGCAAGAAGCCCAAAAAAGGAAAAATAATGTAGGTATTGAAAGTTCCAACTTGTTACCAGAAAAATAACTAGAAAACCAACAAGGCAAACCTGATATCAGACACAGATAAATAATTACGCAGAGAGAATGTGAATGAGAATGGCTTGTTATCTATATTCCTGACACGAGGAATCAAAGTCAGCTTGCCAGCACTGAGAGAAATGCGTAGCCGCACCTCAAACCTGCCACACAAGAACAGGGTTACCATTGTACATCTTGATAAATTTGTTGACTTGGGGATAGTGCATTACTATCGGCTAACAGACTGTACGACTATGTATTCTCCCCACCTATGCGGCCAGGTCTTCAGATCCTCTTCGGTAGATTTCAAAATGAGATCAACAGTTGACTGATTGTTTGCTGCAGGTAGAGGAGAAGGAGAATCGTCCAATTCCCACACTCTATTTCTTGCAAAACCATGTCTCTCTAAAGAACCAAAAGTTCCAAACTGCAATACACGTTTCTAGTTGAGATGCAAAACTGAAAAGAAAAGAACCCCAAAATTGCTATAGTTCAGTTAGTGGACAACCTGTGGGAAGCTGATAGGTATTCCACCTCTGAAGGCTTTAGGAGGTTTCCACAGGGTCTACGAGACAGTACAAGAACCCATAGTCAGGAGAATAATTAGAGAAAAGGTCTGTAGAAGTATCGGGCGAGCAATAAAAATGAATGGACAATGATCTAAAGTCAATATCTCGAGTGTGAGCTGCAAGTATAAACATACAAGCAGATCAAGTTATGTGAGAGATCTAGTAATTTTACATATTAGAAACCTGAAGAAGTTTCCTTATACCAATGTCTCATTTATGCTTACACAAGCAACATGGACTGTAGTCAACATTCTATGCTTTGCTGATTTGAACTAAGCTCATTGATAGATTTGACATCTCTAGATAATGGTTAAATGGCACTTTACCCTGCATAAGAGGATAAATTTTTCTTTTCATGGACTCTACTGAAGAGCTCATCATATTTTCTCTTAAGTCGCTGGATACCTGTTCCATTATGGAAGGTTTGACATTCTGTTTTCAATAAGAACATTCACCAAATGCATTGGAATGTGATAAACCAAAGTTCAGAACAAGTTTAGTGAACACGTTTAGACCTTATTACTCCTGAACAGCAGTTCTTCTCTTCGTTCATTCTTCCAAGAAACAACTTGACCACCCTGAAAAAGCACCTGCAGCAGAGAACATGTACTAGAATTAGATAACATCAAGGAAAAGATAAAGTTCCCTGTAAAACACAACCTTTTATTATTTTCCAGCCCATAAAACTCAGCATTTTGTAGTCCCACAACCAATTTGTGATATTTGACCTGGACATGAAGCCATGTATACTTTATGCATCTGGATCTTTCCATTTAGGGGTTAATAGAGGATCCTCCATATGCCAATTTAAGAAGGTATCACATCATCTCCAAGTTAAATGGACAGTGGAGAGGTTTTCATTGGTATAGTGGAGATCACAGGTTATTGCTACTTCATTGCTTCCCATAAGCATTCAGAGCCACAGAATTCTGACTAGATAACACCAACCCCCTAAAAACTAAAGTTCAATTCAAGACCATATATAAGAAAGACTAAACCATTACTCCATTAGCAAGTCAATGACAAAAATCAACAGTAATTGCAAGGCCCAAGGTATAACGATCGTTGAGATAAAAATTAATAGGAAGGAAAGCAAGAAAAGCTAAGAAAAATATTTCCTATCTGATTTGTTATCTTCTGTTAACTATTTAAGCTCCTAATAAGCAAGCACTGTGCCTTTACATAATCTCTTCAATGGAGGGAGTCCATCTCTTAAATCAACTGCTCTAATTATCAATATTCTAATCAAGAGGTTGCTCACCATCCAAGCTAGGACTATGTACTTTTTAGGAACTACTGGATAAAATGATCGACATGGGAAAAAATAAAGCAATAATTCAGCAATGCGGTCATATTTAGTTTTGGAAGGCCAGCATTCCAAATACCAAAATCAAACTAATTAACAGACTACAAATGATAATAAGATAAAAAACACAAATGCAAAAAGATGAAGTTCAGAAGTCACTTGGATGAATATCAAATCTAGGATTCCTGAGTTATGGGGAAACCAAACCAACAGGCTTCAGCTAAAGGTAAAGCTCGAGATATTGAAACCAATATCTACTATCTCCCATAAGCAACAATTACCAACTAATAATTCTATCCAACAAATCTATCTGAAGAAATCATCTAACGCTGGGATGATCAGTATTAAGTTAATAGTTCTAGCATTCTCGTCAAGCTTTAGAAATGTACAAATCCGTGAATCTCAGGAACTTAAAAAAAAACATGTACAGAACCGAAAAATAGAACTTAAATCATGATTACGCAGCACAAACAATCGCAATTTGGGGAGAACACAGTTAAAACCCTTCATAAACTAAACACAAAACAAAATACATCACAATTATCAACACACTTCTGCAAAAAATACTACGAATACACTTGAAAAATGAAATTAAAATTTTTCAAAAACCTCTGCAGTTGATCCAGTATGCTCCTTCAATACGATTCGCGAAGCCGATCCATCGGCGTCGTGAATTATGTTCGACGACATAATTATAACTTTTTCACTGCAATTTCGTTCTTCGATACTGATCAAAATCTACAATAACAAGCTGTTTACCATAATCAAACACGTAGAACATATAAAATCAGAAAACTACAAAAAAAAAAAGAGAAAAAACAAACCTGCAAACGCAAAGTGCTACACGATAAGCACAGAAATATATATTAATATTATGAAACAAATGGCTGAAACTGAACCGCTAAAGACGAATTATAATAATATGAAATCAAATACAATAAACTAACAATTTTTTTTTCTTGATTGTTGATTAATGTGTTGAAAGAGGCTACCAACTTCAACTTCATGACAAATCCATGTCGTACATTTAGCGTTTTTTGTACGACTTTCTACTTTTTTTTTTTTAGTAATAAAAAAAAAATTAGGCAGTGAGAGAAAATGGGGGCGGTGGATGTGGACGCGTAGTGGGCGATGGGAGGGACCAAAGAAAATTCTGATTCTAACTCGTGAAAAGTTTTCTTAATTTGATTTGACATAAAAAAAATAAATTAAAAATTGAACTTAAAATGAAAAATAAATGTTCATGTCGTAATATATATAAAAAGAAAAAACAAGCATTATAAAGCTAAATTATTATTAATTATTAAATAAAAAATATGTGTTACTTTTTTATAAATAGATATCTTAATATTAATTGTTGTTTTAAGTATAGAAACGTGTTGCTTTACAAATTAAGATCCAAAAAAAATAAAAAATTACAGACCAATGAATTTAATATTCGATAGGTATAGTTTATTGATTATTATGGTGGGAGGAAATATCTAGAAAGGGAATTATTAGTATGATTAATGGGATTATGTTTATTTGATGATAACCTTTTAGTTATTGTGTATAAATTCATACTAAATACTATGATTATTATTTTATATTTTTTTATGATTAAAGTATGCATAAACTATGAATTAAATTTTGTATATCGTATATGAGGATAACTAATAAAATCATTAATATTTGAATAAACAATACTTTTCATAAATCTCTACTTAAATAGTACTCGTATAAGCCTAATTAACAATCAAATATACTCTCGTATTCAATAATGCGTTCGTTTAGAATATATAAACATATTTAAAGTAAGTTTGATGAAAACGTGAGAATTTATAATTTAAATACCAAATATAACATATTTTTAAAAAAAAATTGAAAAGGTTGAGAAAATGTACTATATATTTAATTATATAAGAATTATTTTTGTAAAATTACAACTTGAAGTATAGCAATCAAATATAAATATTTAACTAAAAATAGT